AAATTAAATCCCTGTATGTTATGTTTTTGCCCGTATTTATCCAATTGCTGTTTAAACATCTGTATAGACTCTGACAAAACCACCTCTTCAGGCAAAGAATTCCATATCCTTATTGCTCTTACTGTAAAAAAAACTTTTCTTTGCCTTAGATGAAATCTCCTTTCTTCCAGCCTAAATGTGTGACCTCGTGTCCTATGTATAGCCCTGTTTATGAATAGATTTCCAGATAATGGTTTGTACTGGCCACGAATATATTTGTATAATGTTATCATATCCCCTCTCAGGCGAAGTTTTTCCAAACTAAAGAGATTTACATTTTTTAACCTTTCTTCATAACTAAAATGCTCCAGGGGGTGGAGCCTAGCAGCACACCGGAGCTGTCACCATTTCCCACGGCTCTGATGGCTTAAGGCAAAAAAATGGCTTATATCTGTGGATCCATGACACGCCTGCAGAAACAAAGTGCGGGACCCACCTCCGAGCCTGCTACTGAGCCAGCAGCTGCCAACCTGCTGGATGATAGAGGGAGGAGGAAGAAAGTGAAAATCAGAGGGGTCCTGGAATCAATGTCCCTGGATGAACTGCCGCATTTCATATGGTGCCTGGTAGCCTCAATGTTACCATCAAAACAAGCCAAACATTTTAACTTCGACGGAGTATATCGGATTGCCAAATCACCACAAGCTCCACACGATGCTCCCCGCAACCTCATCATAAGGTGCCAGACACTAACAGATAAAATAGCCCTAATGTCTGCCATCAAGGGGAAATCATCGTATAAATTTGAAATGTGCCACATTGCCTTTTTCCAGGACTTAAGCAGAGCCACACTGGTATGGCGCAAAAGCATGCAACCCATTACCACCTCTCTCCAAACTGCTGGACTCACGTACAGATGGGCAACCCCTAGAGCACTATGGATCACCAAGGATGACAAAGCCTATAAGATCTCGGACCCAGAAGAGGGCCCAGTCTTGGTTAACACACTGAGACTCACCGTCTATACCAGAGGACCTCCCAATATCCCACCAAGGATTCTGGCCAACACGCCATCCTCATATTGCTTATGTTTAATGTTTTGTTTAAAAATACCTACTAACCAACAAGAATGTCTGAGCCTAACCAGACGAGACATACAACGCAATCTCTGGTGACACATAACACACTATACTCCACGCTCCCACCACCTCCATGGGGCCCCCATGGGACAGAGGACACGCCAACCTGAACACGAGCTGGCCAAGCGCCAGTATTAACCCCGGCACACGGGTCGCAAATAGACACCCCTAGACACTGACCACTACACCAGCCACCCCTCACAAACCCCCCAGCTAGCCCAAAAGAACCAGGACTACACTAGCCTGACAAGCGTCCACACACATAGTCACAGAACCCGACTAAACTATGTCTGACACGGCCTCAGGCACCAAATAATGCTCAGGAGGACTCCTAACTTCGCCTACAGAAATAGATGACTAAATTAAGTGATGACGTACCAGAAGGCACCACTCCAAAAACACCATGGCTAGGCTACCCAAGCAGTGCCACACAGCACCCAAGCCATACTAGTTGATTAGTACATACAGCTGAACAGACCCCTACAACTTCCAATCTTCTGGGACTACTCCTGTTAACAATGATTGGTTAAATTATAGTCAATGGAGTATATTCGAAGCATGGGCTTGTCACCAGTGGGGTACCTCAGGGATCTGTACTCGGACCCATTCTCTTTAATATTTTTATTAGTGATATTGCAGAAGGTCATGATGGTAAGGTATGCCTTTTTGCTGATGATACTAAGATATGTAACAGGGTTGATGTTCCAGGAGGGATAAGCCAAATGGCAAATGATTTAGGTAAACTAGAAAAATGGTCAGAATTGTGGCAACTGACATTTAATGTGGATAAGTGCAAGATAATGCATCTTGGACCTAAAAACCCAAGGGCAAAGTACAGAATATTTGCTAGTCCTAACCTCAACATCTGAGGAAAGGGATTTAGGCGTGATTATTTCTGATGACTTAAAGGTAGGCAGACAATGTAACAGAGCAGCAGGAAATGCTATCAGAATTCTTGGTTGTATAGGGAGAGGCATTAGCAGTATAAATAGGGAAGTCCTCATGCCATTGTACAGAACACTGCTAAGACCTCACTTGGAGTATTGTATGCAGTACTGGAGACTGTATCTCCAGAAGGATATTGATACTTTAGAGAGATTTCAGAGAAGGGCTACTAAACTGGTTCATTGATTGCAGGATAAAACTTACAAGGAAAGGTTAAAGGAACTTAACATGTATAGCTTGGAGGAAAGACGAGACAGGGGGGATATGATAGAAACATTTAAATACATAAAGGGAATTAACACAGTAAAGGAGGAGACTATATTTAAATGAAGAAAAACTACCAGAACAAGAGGAGCAAAGGTTTACAAATAGTATCCGGAAGTATTACTTTACTGAGAGGGTAGTGGATGCATGGAATAGGCTTCCAGCTGAAGTGGTAGAAGTTAACACAGTAAAGGAGTTTAAGCATGTGTGGGATATGCATAAGGCTATCCTAACTATAAGATAAGGCCAGAGACTAATGAAAGTATTTAAAAAAATATTGGGCAGACTAGATGGGCCGAATGGTTCTTATCTGCCGTCACATTCTATGTTTCTATGTTTCTAACTGCTTAACCCACTCAAAATGTGCAACTATCATAGATGCCATATGTGTTTCCTCCCTTGCTATCTTCATCACTAACTGTTTTTATGGTACTGACATGGAGCAAAGATTGTGATCACTCTTTATGCACAGAAAACAAAATAAAGAATTTTTTTTAAAAATAATTAAAACAAACAGAATTGTAATTCTTTTAGATTTACTACTTACATGTACATAATATACTAGCTGATATGCACAGCCAGTGAATGCCAATGAGCAATAAGCCAATTGAGGGGCAGGACCATGGGAACCCAGCGGACTCCTAGTTTATGTCAAACCACTCAAAAATAGTACGATGAAGAGTTGAAAAATGGTGTTGATGGTTTGTTGGTTCTATAGCTGCAACAATGGTCCTGTTGCTTACAGTGCCCCTTTAATGATCAATATATTTTGACCTTGGCATGTTTACATTTTATGATCTTTTGCTCATCCTGACTTTAGTGTGTTTACCCTTTACTTCAGTGCTTCGAATTCAGAGTTTGACATTTTACTGGTTTAATGTTATGCACTTTACATTCTTCTTTTTGTTGACAATGTTTAT